GCGGGGCGCGGGGGCTCCGGCCGACTCCCGAAGTTGGGGCAAGGGGGAGTGGGGGGTGTCCACCGGCGAGGATGCCAGCAGGACCCCCGAACGGGAGGCTGGCAGCCTGGCGAGAAGAGGTATCCGGTCGGGCTGGAGGCGGGCACACCCAGGAGCGCCTCTGCCGTGGGACTGAAGCCCGGGCAGCAGGGCGGAGAATGCACCAGCTGCAAAGGGTGCACAGGCACCCCAAGCTCGGGTTTGTAACCCCAAAGGACCAGGTTCGAGACTCCACTCTGCCGCCGAGGCACGCTAGGACCAACCTTTTCATGAGCTTCCCCTGTGAAATGGGAGGCAGAAAGCCTGTCCCGGCACCACGAGAGCTTTGGGGTTCAACAGCATCGTGGACGAACAAGTCCGGAAGAACTCCATAGCCGTTCTTAAGTCAAATATATATATGTATGTATATATATATATACACACACACACATATATACATATATATACATATATAGTGAAAGGGAAGGAGTATATATATATATATATATATATATATATATATATATATATATATATATATATAGTGAAAGGGAAGGAGTAACACTCCAGCAGGTTGAATTCGCAAAGTTAGGTACCCTGCTAGGGTAGTGGTTACAGTTGGCCTGCTCACCACAAGGTCATCAGTTTGAAACCACCAGCCACTCCATAGGAGAAAGAGGTGGCTTTCTACTCGTTTTGTTTTATAGTCTCAGACATCTACAGGGGCAGTTCTACACTGTCCTATAGGGTCCCTAAGACTTAGAATCGACTCCTTGGCAGAGAGTTGAGAGAACGGTAGAACTTACAGTCCTGCTTTAATTAATTGAACCATTTTTTTATAATGATAACTGGTTATTAAGTCAGTGGTTTCCAGCTCACCAAAAGAATAATCCTTATTCTAGTGGGTGGGATTAATATTGTGTTCTATGCTTGAAACAAAAACTTCACCACTATAGAGTCAATGTGGAGAACTGCCCCTGGGGGGTCTAAATCTTTGTTGTTGTTGTTTTTGTTGTTGTTGTTGTTGTTGTTAGGTATCCGTGGGTCACCTCTGACCTACTGGCCCAGTTGTAAGAGGGCTTGGGTCTTCCTTACATTGAGTTGTAGTCCATGCTGAAGGCTGCCATCTGATCTTCATGAGCAAGTGCTTCAATTCCTCCTCGCTTTCAGTAAGCGAGGTTGTGTCATCTGCTCATCACAGCATGTTAATCAGCCTTCCCCAGTCCTGATGCCACACTCTTCTTCATATAATCCAGCCTCTGTGATGATTTGTGCAGCGTAGAGATCGAACAAATATAGTGAGAGGCTACAACCCTGATACACCTTTCTTGGTTTTGAACCATGCAGTATGCCCTTGTTCTGTTCGCACAACTGTCTCTTGATCTGAGTACTGGTTTCGCTGGAGCACAGTGTAGGGTTCTGGAGTTGGCCTTCTTCTCAAGGCTATCCACAGTTTGCTATGGTCCACTAGCTGAAAACACCAGGAAGACGTTTACTTGTGTTTTATTGACCATGCGGAGGCATTCGACTGTGTGGACCATAACAAAATCTAAAACACATAGAGGGGGAATGAAAAAAATACAATAAACAGAATTTCTGAGACTACTGGGGCAATAGCAAAAGGTCTGCCTTTTGTGCAATTGTGAGAAGTGTGGAACTGTGCAGAAAAACATAACCAGTTACGGAAATGCCTGAAGTGTTCCAAATTTGGTGAAAGAAAAATTTACAGATTCAAAAAGCCTTAGAGGCCTGCCATATACAGAAAAGTATCTCTAGATATATCAAAGTCAAAATTCTTAATACTAAGGTATTTCTAACATACAAATGTTAGAAAAAGTGGGGGTGTCTTGAAAGCAATCAGAGAAAAATGGCATTACAAACAAAAGATCATCGGTTTGAATGACTACTATCCTCCGGCTAGAAATGATGGAGTCCAGAAGACAATGAACCAGTGTCAGAAAGTGATAAAGGAAAAGCAATGCAGTCGATGTAATATTCTATATCCAACAATAACAAATCCTCCACTAATGAAGATATTTCAAGTAGAAGAAAACAGAAAGTTTGTTACCAGGATACTTGCACTACAAGAAATACTAAA